TCAGCAGGACAACAGAAAGAAATAATTTGAGTGAACTTAAGATCTCTTTAAAAGATTTCACAATTTAAACTCATCTGCTTCCCCAGCAGAAAAGCAAAGAACTTGTGAAAAAAAAAATCAGACCTCCTTTGTATATTTAGAAGTGTAATAAATCCATAAGTAGAATTTTAAAAATTGTTAAATTATCAGAGATCAAACAAAGAAAATACTTACAGGGGTTATGCTTTCATCTTCAGATACAAGTCCAAGACCATTGCACTTCTGGCATATGTCTATTAGATCTAACATATTACTTCTTGCTAAGAAGGCATCATAGGCTTTTTTTAGGTCAGCATAATTTTCAGGTTCTTTCATGTGTTTGTATGATAATCCCAGTTTGTCATGTAACAAATATTTCCAAGTTTCCAACACATCACTAAGTGATACTGTGAAATCTCCATGGTACTAATAGAACAGGAAAAAAAAATGTTTTGTACTCAGTATAGCTTTAAAAATAACTTTTAAACAAAGTGCATATATATATATGCATGCACTTACAAAACTATTATCTAAATATTTAAATTTATAATAAACAAAGTCTTACTTATAGTTGAAGTTCTTCTAGTGCTTTGGCTTTACAGTTGGGTTTTGTTCTATAGATTATTTGTTCCTGGTCTTTAAAATACCAGGTGGTATACTGAGCTTTACTCATAAGAAAAGACATGTAAGCAGCAGTCTTGCAAAAGTCAATATAAAGTTATTTATGTGCAGAAATAGTTTTCAGCATGTTAGGCTTTTACAATCCAAAGGCAGTAAATACAGCTCTATTACCTTGCTTCAAGCAGTAATCTGGGAAAATATGCCATGTCCAAAAAACCAAGCTTTTTTCCTATGTTAGTACAGTTACACTTTAGCATAACATTGATAGTGTTGCTACATAGATCTAACAAATACATTAAAGCAATGCACACCTATCTGTTACTTGTACCATAACTAACATTAACTATATTTTATACTGAGCTTCTGGTCCACTCTCTCTGTCAAAATTATTAGATCACATTCCATGTGCCCCTCTGCCTTCTCCACAACCTCCAAAAAGGAAAAAAGAATTATAGCTTGTCAGAAAATTTGCAGAATTAACAAACACTAATAGTTAATTTGAAAGAACAAGCGTCACAGCAGATAGGAACAGATAGTGGAGCTGGTATTCACAGATATTTAAACACAAGCTGAATAACTAAGGGCCTGTTATTTGAGCTACAAACCAAGTGATGCATTGCTGAAGGCAGTAGGATGCAAGCCAGCTGCCATCCAGTTGTATCAGTAAGAAGCTAAAGGAGGAAGCAGTTATTGCTGCACTCTAAGAAAGAAATTATTAGGTACAGTACATAATCCTATTTGTTTCATTCCTGACATTATCTTTTTTACTTTCAGTAAAGCACTGTTTTTTAAACCAAGTAATTCACAATTGGGGGGTGGGGAAATAATCTCACTGAGCATCAGACATTTTAATGCCATTTTCCAGTTCAGCATGGAGATACAAGGAACTGCAAGAAATCAGAGCCAGTCGCTTGTGGCTGCCAGTAACAGAGATGAGTGTATTGTCAGTGGTTAAAGACTGCAACACTGAGGAAGCCAGAAAATCACTTTCAATCCCTGTAAATCAAGGTATATGCACCAAGAAAGAATTGCATTAAAATGCTACTTACGTAAGTGAAAATACATAGTAGCAGAATTCTGCTACTAATTAGATTGAGCTAAAGGTAACAGAGACAAAACACAGGGTTTGGGATTACATACATATTTCCAGTTTCTGTAATTCATAATTTGATCCTTTATTCACCTGTTAACCTGTTCATCTCTTGACCACTGACTCTGGACTTTCACTCCTGCACTGTTCTCTGCCTTTCCAAAAATCTAGCTAGGAGTCTACACACTCATACCTCACTAGATTCTGTATTCGTACCTTGCTCCCAAACCTTGGTGTTTCATCCAATGTCCATCACAATCTCTGTTTTCTCAGAGCCATGTTTATTGCAGACCTTTCCATACTACCATACGCTGCATCTTCCCGATGACAACTTCCCCACCACCACTTCGTCTTTCTACTGAAGTCTGCAGCTTCCTTACTTCTTGCTCTAATCCTCTCCTCTTTCACAACTAGACTCCTCATTTTTGTCCACACCTTGCTCTTTGATCTACATAGCAGTCCCCACTTCATGCTGTTAAACTTTTTCATCTGAGGTCCTTCTAGTTGAATTAGACCTCAGAATACATGCAACAAGTAATTTTGCAACTGTAGCAAATTCTCCAGTTTTCACCAAAGAAACAGAGTTCATACTACAGATATCTAAAGCATTCCCCACTGTATCGCAGAAAGAAAAAAGGCAATATTATACGGTCATGTAATTCACTATGTAACGTGATATAAATGCCCTGAGACTGAGTGGCAAGCCTTGCTTTGCTATGTCAATAATCGCAGATAACATCTGTCTAGTGCAAAGGTTTTATTTTATGTCATGACATTTTCTCATTAAGCTACTTTAATTTGGATAAAAATAACTACCTACAAATACCACTGGCAACTGAATACAAAGCTAAATGCAAAAACAGGTTAGGAGCAATTCTAACAATGTAAGCTGTTCCAGCCCAAAAGGTCCTTCCTTAGGGTTCAAGCATACTTAGCACAGCTTTCTCAGTAGACCTGGTTAAATATATGATTCTAATGTCCTGAAAGTCAACTATTTTCATATTGCCTAGACAAAGAACTAGGATTGAAAATAAGAGTACTCATGTATACTGCTTTTAGAGCACTATTTGCTTTCTAATACAATAATTCAGCACTATGAACTTGTACACTATTCCACAGATTATCAGAATATTAAAACAGCATGTTTTCCGAAAAGCACTTGGTTTCCATTTCAGATTTCAGGCCTTCAAAAAAATCAAACATGTAACCATCTTATAACCCAATTTAAAAAGATGGAAAAAAAGCAGTAAGTTTGGGGGGGGGGGGGAAGTTATTTTCTCACTTTGTTTTGAAACAAAATTCCCCAGGAGTACCAAGTTAAAGTACAACTTCAAGATGGTATCTAATAAATCAAAGCCTTTCCTCATCAGACCAAGGACCTGCAGAGATTACCAAAGTTTATATTAGTGCTGCAAAAATATCTTAAATACAAATAAAATTGCATTCTAGATATTAACCTTCATGATCAGGTGCTCACTGTGCCAGCAGTCTTATACAGTCAATTTGCAAGAGTCTCTGGTTTTAAAACTAACAAAATAATGTGGTGTTCTGCGGTAAGCATATGCCAAATGGCTTATAGCTTAAGAAAGTTCAAAAAGTTCCATACTTTCATTTCATGATGGACATTGCAAGTATTGTGTTTCATAGGCATAGGGAAAAAAAAAGTATTATAATGCCTCTTCATTTCTTGGTAGTGTCATATGTTAAGTTTCCTTGGACTCTTATTTTAGAATGTCTGAAACACAGTAGCAATACTTTATGCCTAAAGACACCATTTTTTTAGTATTTTGTACATATTGCAAACTTTCTAGGGCTAACTACATAGCAAAGCTTGATTGAAAGTTGCTTTAAAAACCAGAAAGTGACAGTAACAGAACAGCAATATCATGTTCTCTCCTGCCTTCCCCAAACAAATGGCCACTAACCATTTTTGGAACATGTGTGTTTAGGACTGCTGTGCTTAACCACCACCCAGGTGTTTTCTCTAGTTCCGTTATTTGCAGGCATACTCCTAGATTGCAGTATTGTTGTCTGGCATTGCCCTTGAGTTGTGCAATTCTGCTGTCTTGTCCTCTGGTCCTTCATTGCTTGCATATGCTCTCGTACAAGAGAGAAGTTCCCAAACTGCGGTATATAAAGCAAATTAAAGTAGTATAAAGCAGCATTTTGAATAAGCTTCCCATTCCAGTGAATGTTGGTAGCGCCATACACAGGTTTAGACACTGGTTCATATAAGCACAAGTGCATAGACACCAGCATCTGATAGTTGCTATATTGCAATCTGTCAGGAGCAAAGCCAGTGAATTTACAGGCCAATATCCCAAGCTTAGAGAAATGCCAGCATACCTTGCATGGGTAATTGGGACTGAAACCCCTTTTTTTTGTTGGGGCAGGGGTGGGGGGAGTAGAGGGCATCAGGTGGGAAAAATACTAGGGTCAAAGAGAGTAGAGATACGCTCTGTTCAAGGAGGACTGGAGAGCTACAGTATGTATAGGTTAGTAGAACAGCTAGTAGTTGCAACCATAGGATCCTGAAACAGGCAAACTAAAAAAACGTACTCATCCAAGCAAAAAGACATTACTTTTAAAAGTCAATACTATCAACTACAGTGGCAATAAAAACAAGACAGAAAATTCAGCATACTCCTGGTTAAAAAAACAAAACAAAAATCCACACACACCACATTCTTGCTTCCCCTTTTACCACTCAAAACAGAAACCTGTCGTACTATAGAGAAGTGAGGTGGGAGGGAGAAGAGAAATTCCTACTGTAAGCTAGGGAGGATGCCTCAAGATTTAAGTAGCAAGAGTTTCAACAGTTAAAATAACTCCAGCTGTTAGGCACCACAAAAATACAATAAAACAATAACTACTTATGATTTGATTACACAGGGTATGTGAAAGTGACTAGGACTGTCTTAGTATATCACTTGCTCTTAAAAAAATCCAATGAAATATTCATTACTTCAACCTTTTTTCTACAAAACTTCAACTTTTTTTGTAAGAGTCTGACCCTTATAGAGAAGACTACTCAGCACTGTGTGACCACATCCGAGTACCGTGTCCAGTTCTGGGCTCCTCAGTACAAAAGGCACACTGACATACTGGAGAGAGCCTAACAAAGTCCAGTGAATAAGGCTTAGAAAGCTGGGGATCTTTTGGAGAAGAAGATGCTCAGGGCCGACCTCTTCAATGTAGATAAATGCCTGAAAGGAGGGTGCAAAGAAGATGAAGCTAGGTACTTTAAACTGCTCAGTGGGAGGACCAGAGGCAATGGGCACAAACCTAAAGAACCAAAGGAGGTTCCATCCGAACACCAGGAAACACTTTTTCACTGTGAGGTTGACTGAGCACTGGCACAGGTTGTTCAGGGAGGTTATGGAGTCTCCACCCTTGGAGACATTTGAAAGCCATCTGGACATGGTACTGGGCAACTAGCATTAGGTGGTCCTGCTTGAGGAGCAGTGTTGGACGAGATGCCCTCCAGAGGTCCCTTCCAACCTCAACCATTCCATGATTCTGTGAAAAATTAATTATACTGACAAACAGCCAACAGAATGTCTCTTGGTAGCATCATTACAATTATGTTACAAGTAACATATCATATAAAATTGCTACAAAGTTGGCAGGAGTCTCTCATTACCAGAAGGGAGACAGATACAACAGTAATAGAGTAATGCTATAGAACAACTTCTCATTTTTCTTTATTTGCTAACATGGAGACAAGATGATTTGAGGAAACATTTCAAGAAACACAGGATACTGAACAGAACATAATATTCTTCGGACAGTGTATAAAATGTACTCATGGAAGAACAGGGTAAAACTAAACCACACACCAAAACTGATTTAATCCATAATCAGAGAGACAAACAGAAATTTTTAAAGGGAAAATGCATTTCTAAAATCAACAAGGAAGTGCTTTTTCACAGTCCTAGTGCTAGAAGAGAGATTTACAAAACACTTAAGACAAGTCTGAGGATAAGTTCACAGACTCAGGAAAAACAATTGTTTTATGATGTCTCAGTTTCCCCCACTAGTAGCTAAAACAGCCATGGTCTGAAAATAAGTGATTATTTGTCCTAATAACCTATCTTCTACCCCTCCTGATCCACAGGTGCAAACAGAGTCAGCTTAAAGCAATTACCCTCGACTGAACTTCAACTTGAAAATCATTATTTCTATTTCAAACCTTAAGGGAGGTTCTTCTTGGAAGTTTTCCTGGATTTTAGATCTATACTTATCAGTCTAGGTAAAAGGTACTAAGTTCCACCACAGACCATATGCCACTTGTCTTTATGTCATACAGCTACAACTAGGGACTCGAAGCACAGATTTTTTTTTTTTCCCTTCCATCCCTGCTATTCAGTCAATGTTTATCACACTGCTTGCTACTCTTCGTTAAATTTAAGATTAATAAATTTTGAGACTTTAAACTTTTCTGGAATTCTCCAGAAAGCTTTGTTATTCTTCATTTCTACTGCAGATACAGATAACAGCTAAAATGCCAAATCCATTAAAATCATCCAGGCTCCTAAAGAAAGAGAATAGGTTTTGGTAGTTTGTGGTAGTGTCGTTTTGTTTGTTGTTGGTTTTTTTGTTGGTTTTTTTTTTTTTTTCCAATCCAACCAGTCAACAGATTGTTAGTACCATTAATTTTCTTACAGTAATTGAATCTATCATAACAGACTTGTATTCTACAGATGTTAGGTAGAAGCAGCACATGCAAATGCTAAAATAGTCTTAATCCACACATGCAAGACAAGGTTTACATATACTGATAATTTGTCTTACTAGACTAACTAGTATAATCAGAAAAAAAATAGGTTTTGAGCATTTGGTCCCTCCTCAGATTTAAAGTAAAAGTAGAATACTTCAAAACTAAATGAGTTGAAAATAATTGCTTTAATTTTTGTTAGATTACCTCTGAAAGAAAAAGTACTTGTAGAGGGGAGGAATCTTTGCTGGAGAAGAAAAAGAGAAAGTGAAATAAACTAGTTACCTCTAAGGGAAGGAAAAAGCTTATTGTAAGCTGTTAGGAAAGTAGTAGTAACAAACCATAAAAACATAATCTTTATCATGTCTGTAACTTTTGGCATCCAACAGAATAACACATTCTACTTCCCAGAGCTGGCTTTGGAAAAATGTTTGTCGTTCTGCCCTGAGAATTACAACAGATATGAATTGCCTACACAGGTAGTTTTGCATTATTGTCCTTATCAGTTCTCTGGGAGTTCACTTGGATGCAGAAACATTTTCTAGTTTTACCTGCACAGGCATTGTAAGGACACTGGGATCCTGGCTGGAATATATTACATTCTATGAAGCACAAGTGTAGAATCTTGTGATTCTAATATTTCTGCTATCATGTTTATTACAGTGGGGATGAACTGACCAGTTTATTTAATATTTAGACAAGAGATACCCTCATTCTGCACATTTTAGACTACAAAGCTTTTTCTGGTGATGAAATCAGTTAGGTTAAAGAGTGGTTCTGGAAATACTTCTTCCAAGATATAACCTTCATCCAGTATAAGTGGTATTTTTTTAAATAATACATTGCAACTAGGAGTACACAAACTGAAGCAGGTTTTCTGTTTATTTGGGGGGTTTTGTTAGCTTGGAAGTTTGTGGTGTATTTGGTTTTGTTTTGGGGTTTGTTTTTTTTTGTTCGGTTGCTTTTTTTCTTTAACTGAACACTTGTACTACGTGTTTAATTTACTAGGCAATATTTGGGTAAGTCTTCCAACAGCAGTAATTTGTTTTCATCAATAATTAAACTTATTGACCTAAAAAGGTATCTTTAGATTATCAGAGTGACTATTTCAATTGTTCTCATTAGATGAGACACATAAAGGCCTGACTGTACATTGCAACAGTTTTTGGTATGTTTCCGATGATTGCTAATGCCCAACCTTCCAGCCGTGACAAGCCACAGTGTTTGTTACAGAGGCACTCAAGAGTTACATCTATTCATCAGGTGATAGACACATCTTGTACACATCCAAAGGAGGACATATATTTCCTTCTGGTACTGTGTGCGCACTCACTGCTTTTATGTATAGGCCTTCATCTGAGGACCCTCAGAAAAAACAGCAGCCACTGCTGCAAGCACAACCCATGCAGCCTATACCAAGTCAATTTTAGACTCATATTCCTCTAGTGTCATTCCAAGGCATTTTCAGAGCAGTCCCAAAAACAATGCATCCCAAATGCCACAGTTCTCCCACCCTGATCTATAGCACAGTAGAAACACTTGATGGAAATAAATAAAAGATTAAAACATGATCAGGCAAGACAGGCTAGTATTTAATACTAAAATTTAGAACTCAGATATATACTTAAAATACTTCGATCTTCCCATCTGTCTGGTGGTTCTTTTTCTAAGCCTTGATTCAACAGTGTGCTTAATCATATTAATTTTAGTGCTTTGCTGTATCTGACCCACAGTTAAAACAACAATGAAGTGACCGAAACTGTGATTTCAAGTATGTGCCTAAGCAAAAAGTCCAGTAAGTAAACCACGTGTGAGATGCACTAAGTACCAAGAATGTGCTAAAAGAATGCTAACCTGTTTATTGACTTCAGCCATTGACAGCTGTAATGCCATCAACATGCAGTCTGCTCCACATACAGTAGTCCTGTCAGAGTTTGAAAATAAAGGCCACTGTCTTCTGAAACACTTGATCAAGTTCAAAATTTTTTGCTGGAAAGCAATCATTGTCTAGAGTAGAAGATAGAAAAAAATTAAGAGAAATAAAAATTATTATAACTAAGCAAAGAGGCCTATGTGCACCTTCACCTCTCCATAAACTGTGCAAATCCTGTTGTATCTTCTTCCAGATTAAATTCCTAGAATAAACTCTTCCCTCTAAAACAAAAGTCCAGTATGACTCACCTTCAGGTACGACATGCCTTCATGAAGACCCTTTACTTTCCTTGTACTTTATATCAACATAAAATAATGAAAGTGATCACAAATACTGCAGTCTTGGGTCTCTGAAACCACCCAGTCTGAATGCCCCAGAGAGTGTCTTCTGTACTACCTGCACTTGCTATATATCCAGACTGCTATCTACCAGAATATTTTAAACTCAGAAACAAGAAACATAATATTTTTAAGACTTACTAACAAAGACATGGCAGAACACTTTTGTTACCTATATAGTCTTTTTTCATTATCTATATAATTATCTCCCCTATTTTTTTGGCAGAGTTTCAGAAGAAGTTTTCAATTTGACTACTTCATGCTTTGGTCTTTTTCACCTTCTTGAATTTGTCAAGACACAGGCACGCAAGACTCTTTTAAAAAAATGGCATTCCTTAAACCTGTTCTTTCCTGAAACACTGTTCCTTAACACTGCATACAGTACAAGAACAATACCCATACCAAACCCAACCTTCCCCCTTACTGGGGAAAGGCACAGCCCACAGTGGGTTTTTTGGTGACTGGTACCATTAAGAAAAATGCCGAAGCATAGGAAGAGGGGCAGGGAAAACAGGAGACATTGGGTAACAGGCAAGAACTGCAATTATTTACTCTCCAAAATGCTTGCAGAGAACAATGTACTTTATTTTACATTAACAAGTACATTAACGTGAACAAAACACGCAGGCCATAGAGGACGAAACTGGCGGACAGTCGCAAATCAGTGTGGGGCAGACAAAAATCTCTCCAGAGGCACTTCTTCCCCGCCATGTCCCCCACACACACTCTGAGAAGTTTCAAGGGGACAAGACCTGTCACGCGGAACAAACGCCCAGCGAAACAGCCCAAACAAGTGCAAAAGCCTGAGAAACAAGCCCCAAGCGCAGAAGAACCGGTATTACCGTCACCACCGGGGGCTCGCCGTCCTGCTGCCCTAGTGGAGAACTCCCCGCTGCCGGCCCCCTCTGCGTCCCCCCGCCCCTCACCACGGCCGAGCCCAGCGGTAGGTGCAGAAGCCCCGGGC